GAAGCGGTGAGTGAAATCGAATCTCGTTGACGGATTCCACAACCAGACGTGAGCGGCTATTCAATGAGCTATCCGTAATCGCTTCACCATACTTCATGTCAGACCAAGATTGTGGTCATGATAGCATATTAGCCCTAGTAAGCGGTGTATATTTCAAAATGTTGAGCACTTCAAAGCTGTACTATTTGTTATCGAAATAATGCCATGTGATGCTCATTTGGAATAGGAATTGCGTCGGCCTTTGGGAACAACAAAATTGACATCATTTGTTACAAGAGGTTGAACATTAAATCGTCACCTGAGTTCATGGGTGACTAGAGCAGCCCAGATGACAGTATTATCCACTTAGGGGAACTACTTGAAAAGCTATGAAAGAATAGAGTCCACGCTTGTCACCTTTGACATTTCTTTGGAGAGAGGTGTCTGGAGAACGTGCACGGTGAAGGCACCCCTCATGCCAATGACTGGTAATCAGTTACATCGTACTAACTCAGCACTGTCAAAATATTTTGACGTCGTTTTATACAATCACCGTCATACTGCATTCATGATATTGCTTGATTACAACTGTACAGGTCGGCGTCAGTTGAAGGAAGATATTCGCCAATCAGGGACAGCTAACTGGGTGTTGAGTGAAGGTCCTTTTGAGGTAGCATGGTTACCAGACCTATCTTTGCGTAATGTGCTTCACACGTTCTGAGAGCTCTCGGCTGTAGTTTGGGCAAAGCGATGACAGTTCCAATAGCCCGAGATTTTATCTACCCACTCAGTTAGCCATTCAAATGCTTATGCTGGGGGTTGGTTAAACATTTTTCCTGTTTCAGCTATTTTGACCAGGGTGGATGGACAACAGTCATAAGTGTAACTACAAATCATCCCCGCCATCGATCTAGCTCTTTTATATCCGTGAAAAGTGAATTTTAATTGTCCCCCAATAAGTATAATTAAAACTGGCAGCAAAAATGCAACATTGTGATAAATGGTTTGGGATCCTTGCCGCTTTTTTGCTCAGAAGGACTAATTGGGTGCGTTTGAAGGGACCAAAGAACCAGTATTGTCAACTGTCGACTTCAGTTTGCTTATCACAACAATGGGGGCTTTGTTGATCTATGCGATTTTAGTTGAGGGGGGATTGGACCTGAGCGGTATGCTGACTCATTGCATCTACCCGCAGAGCCTCGGAACATTGCACTGGAAAGCTTGTTCACCCAGGCGGGGTCCTGACAATTTACATGGGGGTCGAACCTTGCCGGAGTAGAACGACGAAGAATTAGAAAGGGGCCTTGGGGATTAAATCTGCTGGTTAACCTGTCACTGACCAGATCTCCTTCATCCCGTACCCTGAGTGTCACTAAGAGCCACGTCCACCGTGTGTCTGGGCGTTTTGGCGTCCGACCACAGTCACACTGGGAATATTCGGGATACTTCAATGGTTTCTCTGAAGCCGAGAAGCAGGCGGGTCTCAAAAATTTGCGCAATCATTCAGGCTACTTGCAAGTAGGTAAATAAAAGTTCGATTAACTCAACGCTTCCAAACGGCCAGAGTCATCCAAACAATTTTAGCTGCCCTTCCCCCAAAATCATATTCGAAAAAAACTTTTACGCGTTTTGAGTTTGCCGTTGTAAAAATTTTGTCTATTATTTTCACATTTGCCTGAAAATTTACAATGTTCCCGACGGCTGGTAGGGTCGCGTTTCTCGTGCACTTTACTCCAAACAAATGCCATTATGCCAATGCCAGCTCATAGTTCAAGTTTCTCCAAGTTATTTGAGGACGAACAGCTTTATTTTTGGGTTATTTCAACGGAAATAAGTTTACGAGGACGGAAATGTGTGCCTGTTCCCGGGGTGGCGGAATGTAAATAAGAAAATTCTGAGTAATTGTCTTGCTTCCTTCCTTTTCAGTTGATGAGAGTACGTTGAGTAACGTACTGTGGTAAGATGTATGCAATAGTTCGTATGGCATTTAAAGCCAGCGCAAAAACTTTTTTTCAGAGACCTATGACCAAAAACGCCTTGGGCAATTTGGTTTTACAGACTGCCAAATTACGTGGTTTTCTATGTGTCT